GGTACTGTGGGGTAAAAGGGATAAAAGCTATCTTGAACAATTTAATATCCACCAGGACCAGCAATATTAACTATTATTCTTTTGGATTATCCCCCTTACACTGTTTAATTAGATGCTTCGAATGCTTAATACACATTGCGTACAGATTAGATTTTAAATGCTGGACTACCAGATTTCATAAGCAACAATTTGAAGGAAAAAAAAGATATATATTCAAAAGGAATTTAAAAATAAAATGGGCCTATTAGTTGATTATGTAAAACAAGGAAAAGGAACATCCAATGATGGAAACACGACCAGGAAATTTTTTGCATTCCCCGAGTTATCAGCTTCCATAATCGGGATAGATGTTAATTTAATAATACGTTTTGCAGCAATATTACAAGCAGTATCTTCAGGATTAGCAATTAATCCAAATAAATTTGAAATCTATGCCAGAGAAACCGCTGAAATGTACATATGAAAATATAATTGGTAATTATATGCTTGTAACTGTTCACAAACTTCTGATTCATGGACCAGACATCATAAAAAACGCAATAGTACCAATAGAACAATTAGCAGAAGATGCACAAGAAGCAAACCATAAGTTCTTCCGATCATATAGAGAATTACATTCAAGAAAGATGTCAAGAGTCGACAATAACAGGGACATTTTAAACAATTTATTAATGAATTCAGATCCGATAATTTCACATTTGAGGCCTAAAATTACTACACAGCACAGGGAAATACGTCCAGAAGCAAAACAACTTTTGGAAGAAGAAATGGATTTGAATCTATAAAAGGTAATGAATAAATTGTTACGAGCCAGAGCGATAGCGACGCGCGTGTGAGTCCAGCGAGTGGGATAGATTTGAGAATTGAACCAATACGATTATTTATTATGTATCAATGGTGCCGAAGATTTGAGGATAGATTAGATAATACAGACGACTCTGACGCGAAGTCAGATAGCTGCAGGAATCGGTATCTCCCAGTGAAGGGTAACCGTAGGTTAAGGTGTTTGATTGTCTTGGTTATTGGAGACAAACGCAGACGACTCTGACGCGAAGTCAAGTAGCTGCTGGGAATTGGTATCTCCCAGTAAAGGGTAACCGTAGGGTAAGGTTCGAACTGTGAGGTTGTTGGAAAAAATGCAGACGACTCTGACGCGAAGTCAGATAGCTGCTAGGAATCGGTATCTCCCAGTAAAGGGTAACCGTAGGATAGGTTAAGTTTAGGAGTTCGGGTTGAGTACACAATGACTGAATCGTATCGATAATGAATACTACGCGTCGTTAATAAAGCCTCGCAACTTGTTAATTTAATAGAATAATAACTCGAGCGGTAAAGTTATTATGTTGTGGGATCGTTACACTGGCTAGGATTGGTGATTTCAAAGTAAAAGGTTTGATGATTGATCTTACAGACTTTAAGTTTACACAAAAAGTATATATTCAAAATAACTATACTAATTACAAATGTCTAGTGTCGCGTTGTCGCGGTTAGTGTATGAAGTTAAGACTACCTAAGTGTTGCGCGGTGTTGACGCACTGGCGATACGGGGGTCGAGAGTACTTTTATGGCCGTAATAGATTTTAAAACCGTCTTCGCGGATCTATAAGGTTAACTATGATTGAAAGGAACTGAAGCCCGATCTCACTAGAGTACTACTCTGCAGAGATCAACGTGTCTCTAACGAGTAACTTTTTCGTACTAGCCCCCGTGCACCGAAAATCGTGTGTTTATATACCCCTAAATGTTGGTGGGGAACCGTCGGTGATTTCCATATTAGGAAATTTGACGGTTAGGATTTTCGTTGCTCTGAGGTTGGCAGCTGTGTGCCCTGGGAAAAGGGTAGATTAGAAACTATCCCACGCAACGCGAGTCAAAGATGATATTAAGAGGATGCAGCTGCAGGATGCACTCCCGTGAGACCGAGCTCCAAATTCCAGAAGGGTAGATAAAATAAGATTAATAAACGCGAGCTTCTAAAAACGGAGAGTTTCTGTATACGTAACAAAATATTTATATTAAATAATAAGATAAGTACAAAAATGACAAAAATAAGTATTATTATATATGTTACGAGCGAGGGCGATAGCGACGCTCGTGTGAGCCCCGCGGGTGGGGTAGATTTGAGAATTGAACCAATACGATTAATTATTGTGTATCAATGGTGCCGAAGGCTGAGGATAGATTAGACAATGCAGACGACTCTGACGTGAAGTCAGATAGTTGCAGGAATCGGTATCTCCCAGTAAAGGGTAACCGTAGGGTAAGGTTCCAATTGTGAAGTTGTTGGAAAAGTGCAGCGACTCTGGCGCGAAGTCAGATAGTTAGCAGGAATCGGTATCTCCCAGTAAAGGATAACCGCAGGATAGGTTGAATTAGGGAATTCGGGTTGAATACACTGAGTTAAATCGTATCGTTGATGAATACTACGCGTCGCGGATAAAGCCTCGCAACTTATTAATTTAATTGAATAATAACTCGAGCGGCAAAGTTATTATGTTGTGGGATCGTTACACAGGCTAGGATTGCTTGTTATATCGTGAAGGTTTAGTAATTGACTTAGGAAACTTTGAATTTACACAAAGAATATACAGGGTGTCCCAAAACTCGGGGAGGAGCCGGAAATGGGGGGTAGCTGAGACGATTCTGAACAACAATTTCCTTTGCAAAAATGTCGGATGGGTCTTCGTTAAGGAGATATTAAGCGAAAACCCCGACCAATCAGAGCGCGCGTAGGCTACGCGCTGGCGGCCGCGCTTGCAGGCGAACAAGTGACTCGACATGTATCGAAGCATCGACCTAGCGCGTAGCCTTCGCTACCCCGGCCGCTCCAACGGTCTACGCGCGCTCTGATTGGTCGGGGTTTTCGCTTAATATCTCCTTAACGAAACCCCATCCGACATTTTTGCAAAGGAAATTGTTGTTCAGAATCGTCTCAGCTACCCCCCATTTCCGGCTCCTCCCCGAGTTTTGGGACACCCTGTATATTCAGAATAACTATACTAAGTTACAAATGTGCAGTGTTGTGTTGTCGCGGTCGTGTGTAGTAAACGTTGAATTTAATTACCTAATTGTTGCACGGTGTTAACGCACTGGCGATGCGGGGATCGAGTGTGATTCTAAATGCCGTAATAGATGAAAACCGTCTTCGCGGATCTATAAGGTTAACTTGATCGAAAGAGAAACTGAAGCTCGATCTCACTAAAGCACACTCTGCAACGATGGACGTGATGTGACTCTACGTAACTCTATCGTTCTAATCCCCCGAGCAACGACAATCGTGGGTTTATATACCCCTAAATGTTGGTGGGGATCCGTCGGTGATTTCCATATTTGGAAATCTGACGGTTAGGATTTTCGTGGCTCTGAGGTGAGCAGCTGCGTTCCCTGGGAAAGGGTAGATAAGAAGTCTTCCCACGCAACGCAAGTCGAAGATGATGTTAAGAGTATGCAGCTGCAGGATGCACTCCAGGGAGACCGAGCTCCAAATTCCAGGAGAGTAGATAAAATAAAATTGATGAACGCGAGCTTCGGAAACAAACAGCGAGTTTCTGTATACGTAACATGTAAACAGATACCTTCTGAGAACAATTCATAATAAATATTTAACAAATGTTACTGATTTCATACTTAGTTGTGCCAATGTCCAGTCGTACTATGCGCTCGCCCCACTGTGCGTCGGTCCGGTCAGAGTCATCTAGATTAGAAGTATCCTCAACAACTACCACGTTTTCTGCTGGCGTAATGCCATAGCCACTGCTGCCACCGACAGCTCCGCGACAGGAGAACGTGGTACGTTTAAAAATAATTGATGAAGAGTTTCATCAAATAAAACATTGTTATTATATAAAAGTATATTTAATATAGCAATACAGCAAAATAACACATGAGTGGATATTAAACATAAAAGTCCCCTCCTTTACTAAACAGTACCAACCTACTACTTTCACAAAAACAAAAAGAAACTAGAAACTATGTGATCGGTACTACCAACAATAATCCTTAACCTGTTGTATGCTGCAAGTCCTGTTTCCAGATCTCGTCGGCGTACTCCAAGTTTCTCCAAGCTGCTACCCAGCGATGATTGGTCTCCAAATTGAAAATGATCCGTGCAATGTAGATAAAGTGCTCGTGATTCCAAAGATGATTTCACGGGCGTTGAAATCACCCCCTCCGGTATTCACCTTTACTCCTTGGGGAAAACCCGAGAGGAAGAGGGTTTGCACTGGTTCTGGTTATTCTGCTTCAAGCAGTCCAATTTTGCAGTATCCCACCGCTGTCACCAAATTGTTGTATGGGCGTTTAGGAATGTTTCAATTTATTTAGTTATTTGGGACAATTAAACAAACACGTCTTGCTTCGAACAGTTATGTTTAATGAATGCCAATTGTTTTAAGAGTGAGTAATTTACATCTCAGCAATGCTTTTACATAACAACGATCTTGTGCATTATTTCAGTTACACCGCTGTACAATATTGAATTTTGGCGCGCTAGTTAATTTAATAGAATTCCGCCGAGGGGAGCCACCAGGACACACAACAAACCAAAGTGATTATGTCAATAATTTTGTTATTACTACTTAAAATTAATATATTTCCTTATACTAGATTCAGAGCGACAAGTGTCGGCAGCGCTAAATCAGGCGCCGAAGAACCCCTGGCGGTCGCGATACCCAGGGCGGGGGCCCTGGGTATACCAAATAATGCGGCCGCCGAGATGTAACGGTGTGGGGCGCGGCTTCCCTGCACCGCAGATTGGGAGGTGGTAAGGGGGGACAGAATCTTTTACCAGATGGCCGGCCTAGGCGAGGGGGAGCTGCGGCAGCGTTCTATGAGAGATCACGCGGCTCCTCCTAAATCGCCGAAGTTGGTAGAGCGTCCGAAGGTCGCCGTGGAGGTTTTAGTGGGTACAACCCCACACTACCTTCCACCCGCTCCCCCGGGCGGGTGGCAGGTGTCTGTTATCAGATTTCCTCCACGTAAAAAAAAAAAATAAAAAAAAAAGCACCGAAGAACAACCCTGTCGAGGTTTAGCGAGGAAAGAAAATAAAAACGTGCGCAGTTATTTAGCTTTCGTTGAAAATAATATAAAGACAATATATTCTGCTTTGTAATTAATTTGATAAACTGAAATTGCATTCGGTGTCTGCAATTATTATGCACGATGTTCTTTGATACGAAATGGGTTCTCAAATCACGTTTTACAGTTTTTAATCTTAACCAAAAATACACGTTCGTTCGCTCCAACATTCATACAGGGTCTGCCCCGGATACATTCACACTCGCACACATTCTTTTGTTTCAATGTTGCCACCTTTGCTAATAGAAGCAACACCAACCTCTGAAACTATTTCTCCAACAAACCCAAGCGGCGTATTCGAAGAAAAAATTGTCGATGCGGTCTCCAGCAACGCAAAAAAGACAGTCGCAGCCGTGACCACGAAGAGAGAGACGGCAGCAGCCTGTAAATAAATACGTGTGCATAACTCAAAATTGTTAATAGAAAAAAATAAAATATTGTTAAAAGTATCAAGTGTATATTACATTAATTTGTGTTTCCCATATACACTCTAGTCTAAAGTTTAAAACGTGAAGGGTGCGCAGGACCCAGAGTCAAACTCCGAGTTGACTTCAGCGACAGTTGCGGAAAAAGTAGGAAACTCCGAGACAAGGACAGAGAGGGCGATACAACAATTGCAGGAGAGACGAGGACAGGACGATTAGGCTAGCATGATTCTTGTCAAGGATATTGAAGCAAAGAAGCAATATTTTCTAATAGTTCTGGTTTCAAAATATTCCTTATACCTTGGCGCATGCCACTGTAAGGCCCGATTTTGGAAAAAAAGTTTGTAAACAAATTTATTCTATAAGAAAAAAAGAAACCATACTTTTATTATTTCTAAAGTTCCAAGACCGAAATTGCAAAATCGGGCGTTAGAGTGCCATGCGGAGTGATGTAGAGAATATTTTAGAAAAAGAATCGTGAGAAAATATTGCTTCTTCGCTTCAAAAAACTTGATGAGCTTCGATGCTGTGAAATCTTGATGATTTGTATGGCAATATGGCTGCCTCGCTGTCGCGCTTTCCGTTGTGGCGCTGTCGTCGTCTGTTCTGTTGTTATTATTATATATATATTTATTGGAAACAATCATTGCAATCCCGAATTGCTCTTTCCCGTTAGCGAATACAGTTAAGGTGAGCTTTAGCTCTTTAATTGAAGACAAAGATCGCAAGAAAGAGTCTCAGATAAGCCGGGACGTAACAAAATTGGTTCGGCACTTGTATCACGGGCCGCACCGCCAGCTCGGCCCAGGGTATAAAGGCAATTGTCCTTATACACGGGAGGCATTCCTCCGGGTTGCTTCTGTCGAGTGCCCGTCTCCGGCACTCTCGGCAGCGGGCCGCTACGTGGGCGAGACGACCTTCTCGCACCAGCCGGTGTACATTTGCTGGTGCGTATTGCCGTACCTCCACTTCCGAGAAGGTCTAATGGCACCCATCACAGACGATGGTGCCATTGGGTCCCACCCAAGCCTGTCCCTGGATGCACTCCATTGTCTTGAGTTGACCCAGGATATGCGCAGGTAGCACTCTTTCTGCCGGGGTGCTCAGACGCGGCATCCGTGTGTCATCGTAGACGGGTAATGTGACTGTCCGATATCAAGGGAGGGAAAAGAAACTTAGTTAATTATTACTCGGGAGGCGTTGGTTTTTTTTTTTTTTTTTTTTTGTTTTTTTTTTTAAATGTAGTTTCCGTAGTAATTATGTAGTTACATACCATTTCCTGGTTTTCTGTAGAAACCCATATTGCTAATCTTACTTCACGTCTTGTAGTTCGCACAAAAAAAAAACTTTGATAATGGCGTGGTATAAACGTGCGATGGTTTATATAGGGTATGTTAGGTATGGATGGAGGTGGTAACGGTGAGTTCTGATTGGATGTTGACATTACGTCTTTACCTGTGCTGTTTAGTAGAGGTGGACTAAATTGCTAAATTTAGTCCATCCGTTAGTGTATCCGTTATAAGCATTGGTTCACGAGCTTTTATGCAGACGAGCTTTTGTTCTTGACAACTGCGACAGTTTCGTATGAATATATTTTTGTTACTCCTTTATGTCCCCCTATTAAACTTTCGTGATAATATCGCATGATATTTCTTCTAAATGTAATTTAAGGATATTCGCGTTGAAACGGTGTAAGGTTTCGCCGTGCGCTGCTATTCGGAACGAGGTAATGCGCTCTTTCTCTATCGTAGTTCGGAGAACGGTTAGCAAGCGTTCTAATTTTGATTCGTTTATCTCGTGGAAGAAGCTTTTTGTTCCGATGACGTTAGGGATTTTCCCTTGTTCGTGAGGAACAATTATTACTTGTCCTTTTATTAGATCTTTCGTTAATAGGCTCGCTTCCTGAAGTAACCCGAGTGCTTTGAAATTTTTACTTATTTGACTGGTTAATATACAATCGGCTGGTATAAAATGGACATAATTATCTGAAATAGATGTAAGGGTTGATTCCGAAATGGTTACTTCGCATTTTGCTTGTGGTCGTGATCTTGGTCCTTGTTTCGGAGGGTGGCCATGGCTTGAATAGCCAAAAGTTTTTGATGTAGCTAGTGATTTCATTTTATCCATAAATTTTTCGAATTCGGACGTTAACTCTGCTGAAGACGATTCCCGATGTGTTTCCATTGTATCAGACTTGGAATTCTTTCCATCCATGAGTGCGCTAGTATTTGGCTTGATCATCGTTGATTGGGGGACTTTCAATGCTTCCTCAGGTGGAGGCAGCAACCAAGATACGCGTTTCGGTGCTGTAACTAGTTTCTGTGCATCATCCCTGCCTGACCTCATGTTTTCGCCCTGGCTTTCTAGATTTTCCGGCTCCATTTTCTCATCGATACTGTTCAAGAAATCTATCTCTTCCTTAGAGAAGTCCGGACTAAGCCAAATCGGATCGCAGGTTTGAGTTCTTTCGTCTTCGTCGCTCTCGTTTCCGAATTTCTCTAGCCGCGTTGCGTTTATACCCATTAACGTTGAATTTGCTTGTGGTTCGGCAATTTCTAGGTCGTTTTCCGTTTGTGTTATCGCCGAAGGAGGATCGTTATCATTGAATGTTTCTTCTACAATAACAGTTAGTGGTTCTACATAATTAGGTCTCGGTTGTTCTTCCCGCCGCATTTTAACCCGTTGTCCGATTCCTTCTTGATTTGTCTCGCGATCCGTGACATTTTCGGCGGTATCGTCTTTATTTGGAGAAATTGGAAAAGCGTGTGGTACGGGGTTTCGCAATAAAGCGTCTGCGTTTGCGTTTACTCGGCCTGGTTTGTAAACTATT